AAAAAAAAAAAAAAGTCGGGACAGTGAAGGATAAAGCCCTTGTAAGCCTGTGTTCAGAATGTTCCTCTAATGTTTAATAAACTTAAAAGAGCAAGAGTCAGTCCAACAGAAACCCAAAAGAATCCTTAGCACATGTGTCAGCCAAGAGCTGGGTGGACTTTGTCTCCCAAGAGCTTGAGCCATGTGGGCTCCTAGTCAGATAAACAGCCTCTTCAGTCTGAACAAATGCAGCTTCTTTGGAGCTTAAATAAAAGAGGTACACACAATTGGGGGAGGGGGCTCTCTTGTTTTAATTAATTGTCCCTGAGAACATGAGCAAGGTTACAAGTTCAGGGCTGATAACACTCAATTTCTACCCTGAGATATTGAATCTAAGCCAGTAAGTGGTTTGCTGGTTGCTTAATAGTACCAAGAATTGCCTAAATCAAAGTCAAGGACACTGTCAGGCTTTCATTTTGATTTTATTAACTTTTCAAGTATTTAAGACAAAAAACGATCATCCTTTGTAGCCCCAGTGGGCATCTTCACTTTTGAGAGGCCCCAGGCTTCTGTATTCCACCCAGCTCTATCCTTATGCAGAAGGCATTCAAGATCTGACCTGGAAACCTGTTCTCCTGCCTCTCAGCTCTGTTTGCTTTGGAGTTTTATCAAGAAGGGGCAGGATGGGAGGCCCTGCTTGTACGCTGAAGATGTCAGGCACACCCCCCTGACCTTTTTCTCAGCAAAACAGCTCTGATAAGTGGGCAAACCTTGAGCCTGGGGACCCACAGACACATTCGATGACTCATTTGTGCAGAAGTCAGTTGGGCAATCTCCTCCTAGGGGTGCAGCACCCGGCCTGGGAGCAGAGCCTGCTGGCTCCGCCGCCCACTTCCCAGTGCTGCAGACATGGCCAATGGGACCAACATCTCTGCCCCATACAACAGCTATGAATACTACATGGACTACCTGGACCTCATTCCTGTGGACGAGAAGAAGCTCAAAGCCCCCAAATGTAAGTCTGAACTGGGAAGCCAGCCAGGGAGGCGGGTGGCCGGCATGACAGGGCAGTCCTGGCTTTTTCTGCCTCACATAACTCCAGTAGATGCCATGTTCGGTAAGCAACTGTATGGCCAAGCCCACACACAGACATAAATGAAGAAAGCTTGGGGCAAACTATGTTATCTGCCGTACTGACTTGGGAATTATCCTGCTAAGAAACTAGGACACTTTGGAAGCAGAATATTTCTTTTAAGGTAGATTTCTTGATAAAGTTTAATTTCTTTAGGGCTCAAATTAACTGAGTGAGATTGTTAGATTTTTTTTCCATTGCTGTGTTTAGATTTGAGAGAGTTACTCCCTTCACCCCTAAGATGTAGGACTTGAGAATTTCTGTTAAAATGCCATCAAATTCACGATTTCTGGAAGGATAAACTGGCAGGAGTAAGAGTCAGCATCCTTCATTCCCTCAGCCGTCCTCTCATTCCTTACTCTGGGGTAACGTGGCACTTTGCAGACAATCTGATCAGTCCAGGTACTAGATCAAAATAACAAGTTAGCCAAAGAAATGAGCAGGAAACCACAAACCTACAATCCTGGATCTCAGCACACATCACATGAGAAATCTTGGGTTCCTTGGGCATTTCACCACCTGTGTCTGCAGAGGAATGAGATGCTTTTCCTTTGGAAAAAAGATAAATGAATAACAGATCTGCTCAAAACTGGATGCGACTATTTAATAAAGTAAGAGAAAGGCCAGGTATGGGGACAAACACTTAGAATATCTAGTTAGGCAATCTTCCTGTTTCCACGTTGATTTCCAACTTCTAGAAGTCCAGTGCAGTTCCCCCTGACATTGGTGAAGACTTACTATGTCCCCAGCTCTGGGCTAAAGCTTTTTTTTATGGAAGTGGGGTGGGGTAATAGGTTTGGTGTGTGTTTTCCGATGTGAGGTAGCTAGTCTTGATAAGCAGATTTTTGCACACACTGCACAACTCACAGTAAGGAAGACCCATGGAGGAAAAAATGGCAGGATTGAAATAAAAGCCCATTCACAAATACTGCCACAAGTTTAGAACTTCAGGATACAAACTGATCTGGACAAAACGCAGGCTTGTGTTCAGAAAAAAAACATTGTTTAATTACCACAAATTAGATAAAATTATGGATGAGATCCAGCTACTTCTATCTTTTTTGTGAGCCAGACATCCCACTAAGTCCCCACCTGGATTCCAAAGCTTCTCCCCAAGGATTTGGGGGTGGGAGGAGGTCTGTTTACCATCTTAAAATCCAGTCTCAGCATTCTTCCTCTTACCTATGAACAATTTCTATTTCTGGGGAAAATGGTTGACGTTCTCTAAGTTGCAAATGAGGTGTGAGAAGATGTTCAGTCTTGCACACACAAACTAGAGTTGGAAGTTTACACCCACTGAACACAGAAATGCGACAGAGTAAGAACATCCTACCCAAGCTCCCAAACCCAACGACACTGCCTGACTGAGGAGAATGTTGCCAGGGAAGGGCCCGTCCCTGGGCCCCTGACACCCTCCATGTTAGGGGCTTCAGACCTAACCTATAGAAAGAGACCAGTTGCTCGGTCCCCCCTACAAAGATTAAATGGCTATTGGTATATTTTATAGAAGTTATTCAGGTTCTGCCTCCTAGGAGGCAGACAACAACTGTCTTCCAAATCTTCATTCAGACAATGGAAAATGGGAAATCTGTAATTTGAAGAAAGTCACCCAGCTTCTTGGAGACCCAAGCATATTAAACTGTATCAGGAAATTGATCTTAAAAAAGTATTTTGTTCCCAAAGTGTCTTAGTTTCTGAGGAGGTGAATCACACATTTACTATAGAAGATAAACGGGTGGTGCCTGTGGCTCAAAGGAGTAGGGCACTGGCTTCATATGCCAGAGGTGGCAGGTTCAAACCTGACCCTGGCCAAAAACTGCAAAAAACCACCAAACAAACAGAAGATAACTGATACCATTTTACCCCCAAGTCCCTGGATATGGGGGGGTCTTTGACACCGACAGAAACAGACACTCCCTCAGGCCTCTTTTATTTCTGTTTGTATCCTAGGAATTCCAGTCTTTGTCTTATCTGAATTTAATTTCTATTTTCTCTAGAGGACAAGTTTGGGGGTGAGACAACAATCCCCTCCCCCCACTACACAAGAATGTTTACCCCAAATAGGTAGTTGCTGAGTTTTTTCTGGTGGACGGGCCAGGAGGTAGGAACTGTGAGAGGCTGAGCACATGGACTCCTAAGCCGGCTGGATTCCTATCTTAGCTCTGCCACATACGGGCTCTGTGACCTTGGTCAGATCAGTTACTAAGACAAATCAAAAAGAGGAGAGAGTTATAACCCACTTCTCCATGGGAGAAGTGCTAAAAATGGGAACCAGTCTTTAATGCACAATAAAGAAGGCACTAAGGCAGATGATGATAATCTGTGCATCACACAGAGTAAAACCAGAGGGGTGGTGGAGAGCTGGGTAAGCGTGAGCAGGGCGGCAGGTGAGGGCCCACCCAAGGCAGTGCCAGGGGCATGAGACATGGAGTGGAGGAGGTCTCAGGAAGGAGCCTTCCAGGCAGCACCAACAGCTGGGCAGGGGTTCTGAGACAGGCAAGTACTCGGCAATTTTCAAGAAATAACAAAGTAACTATTTTCTCATATTTTTGGAAACTGTTTTGGAAATATCTTTTTTTCTCTTAAAATGAAAACCACTTTATCCATCCATTTATTTATTGATACAGAATCACACTGTATTACCTAGGCTAGAGTGCTGTGGCCTAGCACTCAAACTCCT